CCAGAATTTTCAAATTTTTGGATGGCTTATTAGTAGTTACATATAACCGAAGTAACCTACTAGCCTTCGTGAGCCAACGGGAATGTGCTATTGGCCCTGGTTTCATGTTAGCTAAGTCTGTCGATACTTCTCCAGAAGCAACTGCTTTAGCTATTTTTATTAAATAACTTGAGTCAGTTGTCGATTCAGCAGGACTTAAATCAGCCAAATTTTCAAGTGGGATTGTTTCAAAGTATATATATATATTAGGGAGGGCCAATTCATTATAGAAGTAAAATTAAGCGATATGGGCACCTTTTTATATGAAATATATGTGTTATTTAAATGAATTTTGACTGCAAAACCATATATCGCAAATTACTTTTTAGCCAGCGAAATTTTCAATAAAATACTGTTTTTAATAAGTAAATGTATTAATTTAGGCATGTGAATAATTCAAATTGTGAGTTTTATTTTAATTAAGAGTTTGTGCTGGGGTTTTTAAATCGGGTTTAGTTTGTTATTTATTTCCATCAGAGTGCGCTAGTATTTTTTTATTTTAATTCTAGAAATTTCGAAAATAATATATTAATGTGACAATTCCGCATAAATGTTCATTCAGTTCGTCACTAGGGCGTCAAGTATCAATGGCGAGTTCTTATTTAAATTCAGACGCAAGTGCCAGTAATTTGAATCATATGCACTCGCATGATCAAATTACATTTGGACCAGCAGAAGAATTTACAGGAGTGAATCTTCCGACAATTATGGAAGTTATCAGGTATTATTTTTATTTGGCGGAAAAATCAAAAAAAACAAAATAAAATGTTTTCATATAAAACATTTACTCCAAATGTGGTAACGCAATTGATTCAGACGTGGGAAAAAATTGATATTCCAATTATGGAGAAACGAAGTATCGCTAGAAAATTGAACCGATTGATTGATAAATATAAAAGTACAAATAAAAGCAAGTCTACCCAAGCATCATTTTAGGAGTTTGTAGAATCCACGAAAGAATTATTTTATATTGGAAAATGCAAATGCGATTTGCGAAGAATACTGTGTTCTTGTGGACTGGTTCCAGAACATTTACAAGCGTTTATGATGGATCAACATAATGAGAGGAAATCTACGATACCAGAATATATTATAAAAATTGAAGATGAAGTATCAGAATCTACAATAACTAGCAATATTACTCCAGGTGAGACATATACTCCAGATGTTCGTTTTGATTTTAAAAGCAGTTCGGAAAGTTCACAAAATACTTCTCATATAAAACGTGGTCCATATAGTCGAAGATATAAGGCTCCAAGCTATGCCTTAATGTGCGACAGATTTGCAATTTCTGATAGAGTTGGTTCTGGCGTGTTGACAGCAATCCTGCGTGACCTGGGCGTAACGGATGATTGGGGCAATCCTGTCATTATGGATAAAAATAAAAGCGTTCATGAGAGGCAGAAAAATAGGCAAGCTCTACACAAACGATATGATTCTTCTGAATTAATAGCATTTTCATTCGACGGC